TTTTTTTTTTTTTTTTTCTTATTTGTAATCTTTTTGTAGAGTTAAGTTTAGCTCTCACTCAGCTCGATTCCTGGCTCTGCCACTTGACTAATGATTGACAAGTTACAGTAAGAGGTGGATCATAACCAACAAAAAACTGAGGCCTTTTACTGAAGAAATAAAAATAATCCTCACCACAAAATCATAGAAGACCTATATTGATTGAGAGTCTGAGACTACAAATGGGGTAACCCTGTACAATTTAGTTAAATTATGTTTCTTATAGCAAAATTAACCAAAATGCCAATGTCTCTTAAATACAATATCAAAGTAACTCTTCACAGTAGATCACAAAAAGATATGAAAAGCCACCACAGGGTTAACTTGTCAATATATAAGTTGCAGAAACATAGCTCAACTTCTTACCAATTTAAGTCAGCTTACTACAGAGGAACTCCCAATATTTAGTCAGCATATGATCCAACGGTCTCACACGATCCCACTTCCCAGTACAGAATATAGCATATGCATCTGCAGCATACCTGAGATATCACGAGAATGATGTTAAATTCCAACTGCAACATATAATTACTGTATCATACAACTTTCAACCACTTACTTGCCAATACCAGGCAATTCTGTGACATGAGTCCAGCTTTCTTCCAGATACTTACGAGAGAAATGTTGTATTCCTTCTGCTCTCTTCCTATATAAACCTAAACTCTGTATCACCTTTTCTATGTCCTCCTTGGAAACCTCTGTAGCACTCTTGGCATTCGGACACAATGTGAAAAACTCTGATATAACTTTCCCAGTCTAAATGAAGTTCACCAATATCAGAGTGATGTCATAAATAAAATCTCACGTCCAAAGAAAAGTGCAAGCTTGAAGCAAGGATATAAAAAGAAATTTTAGTTCAACAGGATGAAATCCATGAATGATTAGCTATGCTAACTGCCATTGACAATTCACTGCACCTACTAGTGTTTTCTGTCACGAGATACAGAAAGCAGGTACTATAGCAAAATATTCTTAAAAGTCAAGTATCATTCTCAAAGGCTACTGCATACAAAAAATTCTTTGGGCATGCAGGCCATAGTAGCATAGGAGGAAAGAAAACAATTTTGACATTCTCGCAGCCATTCCAAATAATACATCTTAATTTCTCTGTAGAAATGTGCTAAATTAAAGTCCAATTTTCCGAAGTACTGTAATAGTCTCAACTGAAAACAAAAGAAGCAATTATTAGGCAATACTGCAATGTAGCTTTTAAAAAACAACATTTTAACTAGATCACTAGAATCGCAACGCTAATATTTTAAACTATGACTAAATATCGGAACTACTTAACATTATAAAACTTTCAGATCAACCTTCACAGAGTCTACTTGTAAAGTATTTCTAGATAATCCACAAGTTCTTTTGGTCAGATTAATAAGATACCTGCCGGCCAGTGGTCACATTAAGAAGTATGCATATCACCAAGACCCTCCAAGGGTCAAAAACATGATCTTCTTGGAGGAGGTTATAAGGCGATCTTGGAGGCTTCCACATATTATCTGAAGTTCTTCTTTTATAAGCCTCGTCCCACTTCTCGTCAGCAGATAGAACACTTTTGGCTGTCACTCTATTTTTAACCTTTTTGGACTTAGTTGCGCCATCCAACAAGCTTGTAATTGCATTGTCTTCATCTTGCTTTACATAGTGAAAGTATGGAGAAACCTTCCTAGCAGTGAGAATGTTTTTAGCTTGTGATTTCAGCAATTCAATCTTCCCATCATTTGTTTCTGCCTCCTCTCCAATCTCTTTAGTCCTGAAGTAAGGGGATACAACTCGAACATTTTTGTAAGATCCTTTATGACCCCTTTTACCATTATGCGGTGTCTGAATTGAAATTGTTGCATTTTCTGTCCTGATTCTCTTTTCCTTTTTCAGGTTTTTACCACAATTGTGGGGCATAATTGTGGCCTGACGTCCAGATAAACCGGCCTTAAACAAGAGGGTCGAATCATCTTTATCCATTTTCAATTTGTCTTCCACACTTGCCTCTTTTGCTTTCACTTCATTCCCCCTAAACCAAGGCTGAGAATCACCTATTTTGACAGCATTTTTATCGGTACTGTCACCTGTGTATGCAAATTGGGAAAAGAAATCATCTAAGGAAGCCTTTCCAATCTTACTAACTGGAGGCTTGCCATTCCCATTGCCATCACCATTTGACACGTTGTTAATTCCGTTGCCTTGGTTTTCCGTTTTATTATCTTTAAATTTCTTCCTCCGTTTTTTCTTATACTCTATATTTCCCTCATTTTTATCGCCCGAAACTATTACAGTTTCAATGCCCAAATTTTCATCTGCCTTGTCCTTTTTTAACCTTTTCCCTTTTTTCTTGCTGTTCTTCTCAATATTGCTTTCAGAACATTGACTAAAATTTTCAGACTTCTTTCCCTTGGCACAATCAACATCATAATAATGCTTATTATAAATTCTAGTTTTCTTCACGAAATCAACAATAGTAGCAGTATCATCAGAGCACACCTTGTGGGAATTGTTGCGTTCGGGTTTTATCCTTGTCAGATTAGGCTTCTGATTTTGATGCTCCTCTTTAGATGGCGTTGAGACAAAACAGATTGCTATTGAATCGGAACAAAAGCAATTGTCATTCTCAACCGCATTTTTCTTCTTCTTTCGCTTCGCTGCATTCAGATTCGTCACTTCGGAAGAAGACATAATCAAGTTGAAGGGGTTTTCAACTGAACTGAGAATTGAGAAATTGAATTTTGAGACTATAATTAATAAAAGGGGAAAAAAATGGGGAATTTTTACAAAAGCTTAATCAAATCCTTCATAATTTTTTCAGGCCTTACTTACTCCAAATAATTTTTTAAGGCCTCTTTTGTGTTAAAATGTCTAAAGTATCTTTTTTTATATGGTTGATATGTCTCAAATGTCCTTTACTTAAAATGACCATAATATCTTTTCTATAACATTTTTGGGCAAAAGTGAATAACGAAAAACGACTGCAGTTGTTTTATGCGTAAAACAACTACAGTCGTATAAAAATACTAGAGTCGTTTTCATTTCATAAAAGTCTCTAGTTGTGATTTGCATATTCGCGGCCAACTCATGGTAAACAAAAAATTCATTTAGATCACAATTAGAAACTTTTTTAAAAAAAGAAAAATAACTTCAATCATTTTAAATGATTGCAAGTCATTTTTCATTTATCATTTTCGAGTATGAGTGATATCTCATCTTTTATTATACGTAATAGTTTAACTTATTCAAAATTAATTGTAAGTCATGTACTTAAAATCGAATACAGTATACTTAAACAATGTGCAGTGGAGCACGATGAACTTGATCTTCCAATACTTTTTAAAACAAAATAGATTGAATTTCATATACGGTCTAAAAGGTTACATGTTTAATTACATTATCGTCTTTCATTATACGTGAACTTACCGAAACCAACTGAAAGCCGTATGCTTAAAAACCAATATGATATACTTGATCAATGTGTAGTGGAGTACAATAATGAAGTTCCCCTTCCTAGATGTTTTTAAACGAAATAGGTTGAAATCAAGCATATACTAAAATGTTAGAAAATTGAAAGACATCTTGTCTTTCATTATATATGATGGTTTAACTTATTCAAAATCAATTGTAAGTCATGTATTTAAAAATCGAATACGGTGTACTTGAATTGTGTGCAGTGAAGTACGATGAATTGTATAGAATGACTTTCGTCTTCCTATACTTTTTTAAATGGAATATGTTGAAATCCAACACAATTTGAAAGCTTAGAAGTTTGATGGATATCTCATTCATTATACATGATGATTTAATTTATCAAAATCAAATTATAAGTCATATACATAAAAATTGAATATAATATACTTGAACAGTGTGTAGTGGAACATGATGATGAAGTTCACATTCCTATACGTTTTTAAACAAAATAGGTTGAAATCAAACACGATCTAAAAGGTTTAAAATTTGATTGGCACGTCTTTCATTATAAATGATGTTTTAACTTATCAAAATCAAATGTAGGATATATATTTGAATATTGTATAGTTGAGCACAATGAGTTGTATATAACAAAGTTCATCTTCCTGTACATTTTTAACGAAATATGTAGAAATCAAACACATTTTAAAAGGTTATAAGTTCAATTGGCTCTTTCATTCTAATTTATCGAAATCAATTGTAAGTCGTATACCTAAAAATCGAATGTGGTATACTCGAACAGTGTGTAGTGGAGCACAATCCCATGTATATTACAATGTATGCTCTACGTTGTGAGTTTTTGTCGTAATTCATACCTAATTTGTGCTTTATGAATGCTGGACATTTTTTTTTCATGTTCTTTTATTACATATAACAAATGATGAATGAAAAACGACTTATGTCATTTAAATAACTACAGACTTTTTCTCTTAAAATGACTACAGTCGTTTAAAACGATCATATTCATTTCAGTTGTAACAAGAAAACGATTGGAGTCATTTTTCAGATTCGCATCTCGTTTTTTGATTATATACTCTTTTTTCTCTACATTTTCAATTGAAAGCAAACCAAAAACATTTTAAAATGTTATACATTATGATTTAACTTATCCAAATCAAATGTAAGTCATATACTTAGAAATCAATACGCTACACTTGAACATTATTGGTAAAGCACGATAAATTGTATATAATGAAGTGTGTCTTCCTATTCATTTTAAACTAAATAGGTATAAAATTAGAAGTTTGATTTGCATCTTATCTTGTATTATATATTATTGTAAGTTGCATACTTTGAAACTAATTACGGTATACTTGAACATTGTTAGTGAAGCACGATGAATTACATGAACAAAGTTTGTCTTGCTATATATTTTTGAACTAAATATGTTGAAATCAAACACTGTTTATAATTAAAAATCAAATACCTTCTTTCATTATACTTGATGGTTTAATTTATCATAAGTCGTATACTTAAAAATCGAATACCGTATACTTGAACAATGTGGAGTGAAACGCGATGAATTATACTAAACAAAGTTGATCTTCTTATACATTTTTAAACAATATATTAAATGTTGAAGAAATAGATGCCAAATATAATTACAAATTCATAAAAAGATTACTACAAGTCTTACAAAACAACTACAATATTTTTTAAATGACTGCAGTCCTTTAAAAAAAAAACAAAAATGCCTACAGTCTTTTTAAACGACTGAAGTCGTTTTAAAAGACTCCAATCGTTTTTTAAATAAAATGACTTAAGTCTTTAAACGACTAGAGTCGTTTTCCTAAAATAATTGTAGTCTTTTTAAAATATCGTAGTATTGTAGTATTTCTAAAACAACTAGATTCCACAATCAATATTTTGAAAAAAAATTGATATTATCTCCCTTGTAATGTGACCTGAACCAACCTAAAAAACAAATCACCATTCACAAAACACCAATTTCAAAATTTGAGTATCAAAAAAAACCTCATAATTCAACATACATTGTATTAAGTTTAAATCAAATTATTAGAATCTCACATTGTTTGGGAAAATATAAATGATCCACTTAATAAGGTGATGACAATCCTCCCCTAAGAAGCCGATTTTATTAAGTGGAGTTAGGCCCAATATTCCTAACATGATATCAGAGTTAGACCCAATTATGCAATGTTGGGTGCCACCCAATATCGATTTGTTCACAGTTGTTTGGCATAGTCCACGTTGTGCGTGAGGGGGTGTATTAGAATTCCACATTGCTTGGAAAAATATAAATGATTCACTTAATAAGGTGATGGCAATACTCCCCTAATAAGCCGGTTTTATTAGGTGGAGTTAGGCCACAAATTACATTATACACTCATAATGCCAACAAACAACACAACTCCGTGGAGATTCAATTTCATTCACTTATCAAAGAATGAACAATTACAAGAAATTATTTAAAATATCTTAGAGGCTATTATTTACAATTATCTTGTGACTATAAATATTAGTTCATTGAGTCTTGAATCTCCAAGCAACTCTATACAACATGTATGTTGGCAAAAGAGAAGCCTATGTAACCTTTGTAAGCGCAATATAAGATCCTTGTATAACAAAATCTTGGATAGGACAAAATTCATCCTAGTACAGCAAAAAATAGGCCTACATATATAACATCATATCAAAATAAATAAATAAATAAATAAATAACAAAGATATAATCTTTAACATCACCTCAGTCTAATATCATAACTAATATCCATGTTCTTGTACCGTACTAAACAAACTTTTAAAAAAAATAGTAAGGTGAAACTAGATTTTTAATGACAAATTTGTTAATAGAAATTGAATTTTACTATGACGTTTTTTTTTTTGGGGCATCTTCACTGTTATCTTTCACGTTTTGATTTGTTTAACAATGCATTTAGCTAGATTATCTTTCAAATGGGCATTGAGGCACTCACACTTCATGTGATGAGGTTTCTTTTCTAATTCACAATTTTCATTGCTCTTCATACAAAGAATTATTTACATGATGAATGGATGTCTTCTTATGAACTATTTAAGAATTTTATTATTATTATTATTATTATTATTATTATTATTTTCAGATTCCCATTTAAAAGACATAAGCATTAGCCAATCAAGTTTAAATCAGTGGTCAAGAAGACAACAAGATGGTTCCATTATTGAAAAATGACTAATCGCAAAATTTCAATTTTACTGCATTCACTTGAAAAATAAATTATGTCACGACATGTCCAACCAAAACATAAGAATTAAAT